ACCCTAACTCCCTGCCCCAGCCCAGAGCCCCCTGCCGTGCCATGAGCCCCTCATTTCTGGCTCCACCCAGGAGCCTGCACCCCCAGTTAGAGCCCTCATCCCGTCCTGCACCCTAATCCCATGCCCCAGCCCAGTAAAAGTGAGGGTGGGGGAGAGTGAGCCACTGAGGGAGGGGAATTTAGTGAGCAGGGGCGGGGCTTTGGGAAGGGGTGCGGCCTTGGGGAAGGGGCAGTGCTAGGGTGTTCGGCTTTGTGCGATTAGAAAGTTGGCAACCCTAGGCGCATTGCCATGAAGAGCAATGGGCCCAAGGCCACCATGTACAAAACAGGTGCAGTGCTATGAACAGTCATGGACCACAGGCATGTGGCGCTGCGACAGTGACAAACCACCACTTACAGCTAGCGTTGCCAACTTTCTACTGCACAAAACCGAACACCCTTGCCCTGCTCCTCCTCCGAGGCCCCACCCGTGCCCCGCCCCTGCTTTGAGGCCCCACCCCCTGCTCACTCCATTCCCCCCTCCCTCTGTCACTCACTCTCCCCAACCTCACTCGTTCATTTTCACTGGACTGGCTCGGGGCTGGGGTATGGGAGGAGGTGAGGGCTCTGGCTGAGGGTGCGGGCTCTGGGGTGGAGCCAGGGATGAGGAGTTCAGAATGCAGGAGGGGGCTCCAGGCTGAGACAGTGGGTTGGGATGCGAGAGGAGATGAGGGCTCCGGCTGGGGGTGTGGGCTCTGGGGTGGGGCCAGGGATGAGGGGTTTGAGATGCAGGAGGGGGCTACGGGTTAGGGGGGCTCAGGGCTGGGATAGGGGGTTGGGGCACGGGCTTACATCGGGTGGCTCCCGGTCAGCGGTGCTGCAGGGTGAAAGCAGGTTTCCTGCCTGTTCTGGCTCCACGCTGCGCCCTGGAAGCGGCCAGCAGCAGGTCCGGCTCCTAGGTGGTGGGACCAGGAGACTCCGTGCGCTGCTCTTGCCTGCAGGCACTGCCCACCCCCCACCCCAGCTTCCATTGGCCGAGTTTCCCGGCCAATGGGAGTGTGGAGCTGGTGCTTGGGGCAGGGGCAGCACGCGGAGCCCCGTGGCTACCCGGTGGAGGAGCTGGATCTGCAGCGCGGTGCCTTAGCCCCGCAGCGCTGCCGACCGGATTTTTAAGGGCCTGGTTGGCAGTGCTGACCGGAGCCGCCAGGGTCCCTTTCCAACCAGGCGTTCCAGTCAACAACCGCCCGCCTGGTAACCCTGCCCGCGCCCCTCGGCGTAGGTGTGGCCGGTCACTGTCACAGCCTAGCACTGCACCCCGGTCTGTACAGGGCGGCTTTGGGCCCACTGCTCTTCACGGCACTGCCCACCTGGGCCTGTCTGTGGGGTCCCGTGACTGACCCACACACCCGGGCTGTAGGGGGGGGGGGGCAGTGGCCTGGGACTGTTCGTAGCACCGCCCCCAAGGGCCTGCTTCTCCCGGACACCCGCTGAGCCGGGGGGCAGGTTTATGCGGGCCAAGCCCCCGCCCATAGGGGTCACCCCTAGTACGTTCCGGGTACCCCGCTATCGGGGAGGGGTGACCCCTACGTGCCAGGCCGCCCCGCCCTCGTTCCGGACCAATCCCTCTGCCCGCGTTCCCGAGCTGGTACCCAATCGTGACAGCCGAGCTGGCCCGACACTCCGCGCAGAAGCAGCCAGTGGCCGGCTGGGCGGGGCGGGACTGAGGGCAGCAGCCGGGTAGGGTGCGCGGCGGATGAGGACGGGGTTTGGGTGAGGCGTACAGCGCGCGCGTGTCTTGCTGGGGCCAGGGAGAGAGGCAGGCGGCTCAAGGTGACGTTATTCCCTCGTGCCGGGCCCGGCGCACGTGGGTGCGAGCGGGCCGGAAGGGAGGGGGGAGAGGAGGAAGAGGCGGCCGCAGGGAGTTGAACTGGTGTGTGAGAGGAGCGGCCGGGGAACTAGTTCGGGGGGAGGACCATTGCGGGGAGTCAAAGGGCGTAGGGCTCTGGGGCAGAGTCTGTGTGGGGGGAGGGGCTCTGGGGCAGGGTTTGTGGGGGGGAGGGATGCTGGGGCAGGATCTCTGGGGTGGTGGGGCAGGGTCTGTGTGTGGGGGGGAGGGGTTCTGGGGCAGGGTCTGTGTGTGGGGGGGAGGGGTTCTGGGGCAGCGTCTGGGGTGGGGGGGAGGGAGAAGTGGGGGTGGTTGTACAGTGTGTTTCATGCCCCTAGCAGTAAAAGACCGTGCTGATTGCCTGCACACGATGGTGCCCGGCTTGTGCTGACATCTTGGCTTATGTTGAGTAGTCCTTGGTAGTTCCATTCTCTCATCAGATGTAAATTACTGATATTACACATCTCTGTGTACAGCATACCCTTTTTGATGTTGCCTAGAATGCCCCATGAGAAAAATATCTTGATTGCAACATGTACCAATTGGAGTTCAAGATTTTCTCACATATGTATAGACACTGGCCAACTTCTTGGTATCTTCCATATCCTGTTTGGTACAAGAATATGATAGCAATTTTATGAGATTTTATTCCTGGCAGGTATTGAGAAATACATTTAGTCTCAGAGCTGTCTTGCTGAGGCTGCTCCTTGAGAAAGAAAGACGATCCTGATCCCAACATCTTCACCTCTTGTCTTTCCGCCAAACTAAGTTGAAACGGTTCTCATTTCTTTGGTTATGATAGCATCCATGTTGCTGATAATACACCAGTAAAAATATGCTTCCTTTTATTCTCTCATATCTTCAAGATCCGTATATATTGAAGTGGGAGAAAACCATGATTTAACTCTACGGTACCACCAGTATCAAAACTTTCTTGTACAGTGTTCTGTTCCAAATTTCAGAAATGGCACAAAATAGAAACACCTTGAGCACTGGTGAACTTTTAGTTTCCAAATGAATGTACAAGGAGTAGCCCCTACTGCTGTTAATGAGGTTTTGAGAATTTTTTAAAATTGTGATTATGGTTTGACATACTATAGCTGTACCTACATATGTATCATACTGCTCTGACAAAGCATGAAGCAAATATGAAGCAAAGGCAGAATTGGCCTTAAATATGCTGTCCTATATATGAATGTAGGCTTTGGTGTATTTTATTCCCCTTGGCCCATTACTTCTGTAATTTCTTCCTCTAAGAGTCTGTCCCTGTTTTTTGCACAGTTATACGTAGTGAGTTTCTTTAGCAATGCAAATAATATTTCACAAATATTTCTCATATACATTTATTCTGAGTGTAGCAGTGCATCAAAGGAGATGGCACAAAGGATTCTGGGGCATGATCAGTTTCTAGATGGTAAACTCTTCAGAGAAAGAACTGTCTTTTTGTTTTCTCTGAAGCTTATGCTCTAATAAATTTGTTAGTCTCTAAGGTGCCACAAGTACTCCTAGTCTGTATCCGCAAAAAGAACAACATGGCTGCTACTCCGAAACCTTTGTTTTCTCTGGTGCTCATCACCGTAGTAGCTGATAATGCTTCACAAACATGAATTAATTTCTTCACAATATCCATGTGAAATAAGGTGATATGTATTTATTATCCCCATTTTACACATGGGGAGTGAAGTCCAAAATTGTCAAGGGTGATAAAAGTTTCATAGGCCTTGATATATTCAGACCACAGGTCCCATTGAGTTGCAATTGAGAATGCTAAGCACTTCTGCAAATCAGTCCCCAGGTATCTCATATTGGGTACGCAGAAAATGAGGAACACAGTTAATGACCACCTGTGAAAATTTTGGTTTATGTGACTTGCCCAGAATCTCACAGCTCACATGATCGAGGCAGGGATAGAATCCAGTTCTCCAGTGGTGGTTAAGGCAGCTGAAACTACACCTTCATTTTTCTTTTTTGAATCCCCTGCCTCATTTGCTGCATAACTTCCTACTTCTATAATAGATGAGGTAGAGGGTCCTACAGATAAGTCGTCTTCATTATACAATCCTGGTTCATTCCCTGAGTACTGTCCATCCTGTGCATTGAATGAGATGGGGTCTGTCACACCACTTCAGTTATCCTTCACCAGCATTGTGTTTTTTTGTGGTGGTCAAGCAGGCCACCACCTGTAGTACTATTTACATATATTTACCCTCCCCCAGCCATCTCCCCCACTTACTTCTGGGGATGGGAACAGGACTAGCAACAGCCAGTTCTGACTATCTCTGCCTTCCTCGGGCTCTCTGCTCTCCCCCGAGCTTTCTTCCTCTCCATTTATATACTCCCAGCTGCTAGGGTTGCTTCCCTCTCAAATATCCCCTCAGCCATAGCTCTATTCACTTAATTGGTCTCAATAAACGTATATTGGTGGGGAGTTGAGTCTCAGGCTGAGTCAGCTCCTGACTCAGTACGTACTTTCCAAAGGACCCTGTAACAGTATGATCATGTAATTAAAGACTGTCATAATGCCTAAGCAAAAGGGGGCCAAATTAACTTTGCGCAGGCAACCTTAATTCTGGCATTTCCTCACTTTTGAGTGTTCAATTTTGCAACCTTAATATTCTTTTTATATATATATAAAATTTCCTAAGTTTTAAAGAAAGCAAACTGAAAAAAACCAGAAACCATATTGACCACTACATGGGTCATGAGTAGAATTGGAATCTTTAGACCCCCCCCCAGCACAGATCTCTTGCCACTTGAGCTAACTAACTGTAGTGGTAGTAGGCTGTTGTCCTCTGTGACTTAGCCAATAGAGGTTGATGAAAGACATACTTTCTTAGTCTGTTTCACAGCTATTTGCTACACATAAAGAGGAATGATGATTCTCAGGAATTCTGAGTTCAATTCAAAGTTCAGGAAGAGAGTGTTGATCTTTTTTGTATCCTGTGTTCCCAGTGTCAAAAACCAAGGTGAGGTTGAATTAAGCTAATCATTTACTGTTTCCACGTGTCAGATGTAGAGAAAGTAACACTAATGAATCGTCAGAGTAAGAGGGTGTTAGGTTATAAAATGACAAGGTAATGCTTATCAGCAATTTATCTTTAAGAATTTAGTTTTAATCTTAGATTTTTATTTTGTCATTTGACTTTCAACATATAGCACTTGCAGTTAATTTTTGTGGCCCATATTCAAGAAACATTCCTATCCACAAAATCACTTAAGCACCTGTTTCATTTGAACTCAATAGAGCTCGGACACAAGTGCTTTCATGAACTGGGTCCTATAATTGGATATGTACCTTATATTGGAACAGAAATATCATGGAAGCTAGTTAAGTGACATGGCATTTTAATGCACTAGCCTTTAATTTTTTTTTAGACATTAGTTTGATCACCAGGAAAACCAATTCTTCAGGGACAGTTTTCCACATCACTAAACATAACTTGAAGTCTTCTCAAAACAGATGAATACTGGAATAGCTTGGATGCACTGTGGTGCTGTCGAAACAACATGGCCCAGATCCTCAAAGTATCTTGGCCCATGTAAAATTTTGTCCAGGAACTGCATGTGCTTTGTTTGGTTCTAGCCAACGCTGTCAGTATCTCTTTCAGTAACACTAAAATGCACTAAACTAAACAATCTTATGCAATGTCTGGTTATTACTATGCCGTCATTGTTTGAATGACTGTAGTCATAGTTTAGAGTTTGGGGTTCAGTTACTACTTGGAATAAACTCTTATTTGTAAATGTTTGGGGGAGATCTATATATTTTTTTGTTTTACTTAGATTGTATTTTACTGTAATCTGCTGTTGCTTCTGCTTGGTTCTGTAGTGAAGTACTATAGGATCTCAGCTACCCGAACACTAGAATTATTCATATAATTGGGAGTCAATTTAAAGAAAAATACTGTAACAAAATGTTCAATAAAGGCTCCTCTTCTCCATCATTTGCTGAAATCATTCATGGTTTATTTTTTATTTGGCCTCAGCAGCACTTTGCATTAATATGCAAAGTCTTAAAGTTTTCTTTTATACTTCTGTAGTGTCTGTAATTGTGAACACCCATCTCCTTCCCTCATACAGCCAGAGCTATCACACTCTTCTTGTTTCCAGATCTGTCCGTTATTGCCAAAATCTCCTGCACGGCTTTTCAACAAGAATTCATAAATACAAAGGAATAAGTGCCTTATAATTGGTAAGCAATTAACAAATTGGCAAAGTGACCTCATAAAGTCATAGTAATGTTCCTTTCGGGCCTTAGAATCTATCGTCCACTCTGACCTTCTGTATAACACATTCCATAGAGCATCCCCAAAATAATCCTTAGTGTATATTTTTTAGAAAAACATCCGCTCTTGATTTAAAAATTGGCAGTGATGGAGAATCCACCACGATCCTTTGGAAACTGTTTTGATGGTTAATTACTCTCATCCTTAAACATTTATACCTTATTTCCACTCTGAATTTGTCTAGCTTCAACTTCCAGCCATTAGATTGTGTTATAACTTTCTCTGCTAGATTGAAGAGCCCATTATTAAATATTTTTTCATCATGTAAATATTTGTAGATTGTAATCAAGTCACCCCCTCAACCTTTTCTTTGTTAGACTCAAGGAGCTCAATCTATTTAGCTCTATAAGGTATGTTTTCTAATCCATTAATCATTCTTGTGGCTCTTCCCTGAACCCTCTGCAAGTTATAAACATCCTTTTTGAATTGTATGTTCTAGACTGGACACAGTTTTACAGCAGTGGTCTCACCAGTGCCAACTACTGAGGTAAAATAACCTCTCTACTCCTACTTAGAATTCCCCAGTTTATGCATCCCGGGATTGCATTAGCTCTTTTGGCCATAGTGTCACACTTGGAGCTGATGTTCAGCTGATTATCCATCACAACCCCCAAAGCTTTTTCAGAGTCACTGCTTCCCAGAATAGAGACCCCAATCCTGTAAGTATGGCCTATACTCGTTGTTCCTAGATGTATACAATTACCCTATTAAAACACATATTGTTTGCTTGTGCCCAGTTTACCAAGCAATCCAGATCACTCTGTATCAGTCACCTGTCCTCTTCATTATTTACCACTCCCTAATAAACTAAAATTGGCAAATTGTTTGCTAGACAGGGAGATACTGGTGATTTTGGATAATCAGGGAGCCTAATCTAATAAGCATATGATTATGTCTGTTGCTATGGCAGTGATGGAGATAGCAGAAATTAGCATTACGATTTTCTTACAGGATCCGAAAGGACAAACAGATGGGTTATGAAAGCACTAATACTTGTTCAATAAACACAAGTCTATTACTAGCAAACCCGATAAAAATTCTGCAAAACTTGTATTAGGTAAGTGGATTTGTTTTAGTTTATGTAGTTTCCACAGTTAGTGTACTGTATGCACCAACCCCACAGGGAAAATAATGTATTTAAGACAAAATTAGTTGAGCAGCTGAACAGATAGGGTGCATGTTACATAATTGCATCATGCTTTGGGAACTCTGTTGGGGCCCAAAATGCTAGTACTATATTCATTTGAGAAGGGGTAGTATCTCAGCATGACATCTGTTGTGGAGTCTGGTGTGGACTTTGACACTTGCTGGATGTTTGAAGTGCAAACACAGGTGTGTGTTGTGTGACAAGTGACTTGACTTCTGTGTTTGGAGACAGCAACACCTGTTCTCAGATTTGGAATCGTTGTCTTGATAATGTCAACCCTAAATGTTCACAAATCTTGATTCAGGCCCTCCAAAAAATCATGAGATTAGCTTAAAAATCACGAGATTTAAAAAAAATGTTGGGCTGTTTATTTGCGTTCCAATTTCCTAACTTGATATACTGGGGTCATGTTTTCAAGCTTTGTGTCACAACAGTGAGGGCCAGAAACTTACTTTGTTAATGAAAGCTGAGATTCTCATGTAATCACTTGATTCCAAGAATTTAGTCTCACATGTTCTTGTAATAATTAGATAATTCCTCATTACTTCTATCAAATTACTGTATTAAACTTCTTTAAAAGCTTTGATTCTCTAGTTTCATGAAGATGGTGTTTCAAATATTCATTGACTGATGGTCAGTTAGTGACCCCAAGTGGATTTATTAGGGAATAGCATGTTCCATTGATGAGACATCTGTTAGCGCATGTAATGAAGGCATCAGTGGGAATCATAGAATATCAGGGTTGGAAGGGACCTCAGGAGGTCATCTAGTCCAACCCCCTGCTCAAAGCAGGACCAATTCCCAACTAAATCATCCCAGCCAGGGCTTTGTCAAGCCTAACTGGAACTCCAGTTAAGGTTGAATTGAGATGTACACTTAGTTCAGGACTAAAATCCTTCTGTTTCACACTTCAGTGAGTAAAAATAGTCTCAAAATTTGGCAGAGGACAGTTGAATTTTCTGTGTAATATTTTTAAGAAAACTTTGCAGAAAAGACACTTAATAATGCTCTCTTTTTTCAAATTTTGCCCTGACGACTTTGCAGGCTTTTGGGGGTGGGGGAGGCAGGCAAAGGCGTCATATAGGGAGGACAGGAGGGGCACCTACCCCCCCGCCATGTTTCATACCACATTGTAATTTTACGAACAATACACATATCTAAAATGTGAAGTTTGTGCAGTCACATTCTTTTTGCTGATTTTCCTAGCCTGTTCCTACAAATCCCATAATCCCCAGCCACCACCTCTTGGTGCTCTTCACTTCAGCGGGAAGTTTATTAGCTCACGGTGCCAATTCTTGTGTTGAAACAGTTCCGTGTCTACACACACACTGATGGAGGTTGGAAGAATTCTGCTTTTTAGACATGGTGTTCCGTCCTCTCTGGTAAGGTTGTTGTTGTTGTTGTTGGGTTTTTTTGTTTATAATGATGTGTCATTATTTGGTCTCTTATTTTACTTTGATTAAAAAAAATCCATTTAAGTTGCTTACATCATATTCACTTGATTCTTTAGTCCATCACTTCAGTATTCACTGAAGTTCACAGACAGGCTTCTGGCAGAGTCTGCTTCATTTTATAACGTAATACCTTGTTTATTTGAATTCCATAAGAGAGTAAAAGTAAGTAAACTCTCTGAACTCATAATGTTCCTATGTCACTATGTAAGAACTCAGGTTCTTACAAAGTAAACTTGTTGCCCTGACAGCCTGAAAACACACACAATAATAGGCCAGGGATTTTAAAAAAATATTATTATAGTTTTTAACTAGTTTAGGGGATTTTGTTGTTGTCACTTCTTGGTACTGCCTGTCAAAATGTGCAATGCACATATATTCTCTGTAATTTTATTCTTTCAAAGTTTAAGGATTACAGTACTGTTCTTTTAGTTTTTTTTACTGGTCTATGTATTTCTTAATTTTCTCTTATGCTTAAATTTAATTCTTTGAGTAGCGAGTTCTAAAATGTCTAACCTGCCCTGGCTGGAGTAATTATCATTATTACTTTTATTACCATCTTCTGCTTTGTCATTTATTATTTAAAGTGGTACAATCAAATAGTAGTAGCCTTCTAGAATGTAAACTTAGCTTGTACTCACCTTAGGCATGCCAATTTCAAGAAAAAAAAATAAAGCAACTATTTAATATCAATTAGTGTCATTAACATTAGCGAAATACCTACGTTTAGACACTGTGCAGATGAAGGTCGCTTATTTTCAAATTGTATTTTTAATTATATCTGTAAAATAACTTAACATTTGAAAGAGAGAAATACGGTTCCAAGTCTGATACTAATAGTAACGATGGAGTCAAGTGTTAGTGAGTCATGTACATGATTATGACTGATAAATGTAAATGCCAAAATAAATAGAAAAATAAATCCCCATTCTTAATAAAAGAGAAAATAAAACTTAATTGTGTATGTTAAAATTAAGTAAAGACAGTTTTAATGGCATGAAAAAAATTGACTAAAATAGAGTAGATCAGAGGTTCTCAAACTGTGGGTTGGTTGGGACCCCAAAGTGGGTCACAACTCCATTTTAATGGGGTCGCCAGGGATGGTGTTAGACTTGCTGAGGTCCAGGGCCGAAGCCTGAGCCCCGCCACTCAGTGCCGAAGCCAAAGCCTGAAAAAAGTAAAAAAAAAAAAACAAACAAACAAACAAAAAAAACAAACTTTTATATTTGTTTTATGTGTTTTTGTTTCATTAATTGCACAAGTATTCACTGCCTCATTGAAAGGCATTGCTGTATTGCCTTTAAATAATATTTAATTTAATAGAAATATAGTAATAAAATAAAATGTACACTATTCTTATTATATTTTAGTTTAAAAGTTGATTTAAAAAAAATTCTCATGTACAATGGCACCTGTACCACCACGGCAGAGGAATATTTTATCATTTTTTTTAAAAGAAATGCCTCTGACCATTAAAACTGTGACAATGAAGAACCATCCTTGAAAATGAACTGTGCAAATGCTTCCTCAAGTAACATTGTCCTGCAGTCAACACAGAAAAACAAAAAGGATAATGATCCTTGTGCCAGTATATCAGTGGCCACCAACTACACATCTAAGGATGTCCTGTGTGCTCTGACATCACCAGTGGGGGCAGAAGGTTTTGTTCATGACAGGAAAAACATCATCTCCACAGCTTATTTCATTGCACAAAGAGGAACAACCAATACAGCCTAAGGTGGATTTATATCCTACAAATGGTGGACGTTTCAACTGTAGTTGGTTTTCTTTGTACCCCTTTATTGAATACTCAGTTGTAGAGGATTCTGTTTTTTGCTTTCCATGCCATCATTTTGCTACTCAGAGCAAAATTGGACCAGGAGAATAATTCAACAACAGAACATCCATTGGGCATAGCTTTAAGAAATGGAAAGATTTTCATAGTTTGTTAAAACAACATCCATTCAGTTCCAGGCATACGGCAGTTTTCATTTCATGGCAAAACTACTTGAAACTTAGGATCAGCAGTTCCAAAAGTGTTGCAGATCAACTTGTTTCTAGTCGTCAGGCTCCACAGCTGAAAATTGCCAGCATATTGAGACACTGTTAAAGGTGTCCATGCACTGCATGGTATTGCTTTTCCAGGGCATGATGAAATACGTAACTCTAGCAATCAAGGCAATTTCATGGAAATTCTTGAGCTGGTTGCTTCCACTCAGCCCAGCCTTTTGAACAGATTCAGAAGCAAGTATGGACACTGTGATCCAGTGTGTCTGGGGCAGCCCTTACTGGAAATGCCAAGTTCAGGGCAGGCTGCAAAAGGGAGAGCAGATACTCCCAAGACTGGTGGGTAACCCTGAAGTTAAACTCCCCAGCCAGTCACAAATTGTGCTCCTGATCCCCCACACTGGTTATTGAGAAGCTGAAAAAGGAAATCACACAGCCCCCTTTATTGCATTCCAGTTCTCTCACGCCCAGTCAGCACACAGGTCCAGTACAGTGAAAAACTATTTAAACTCTGGTCACATATACAAAATGTTCTTCTGACCCCAAATGGTCAGCCACCTTACCAGGTCAGTATAGGTTTGGATCTTACTCAAAATACCACACTGACAGCCAATCCTTTAGCATCTAAAACTAAATGTTTATTATAAAGAAAAAAGAACAAGAAGAGAGATGTTAAATGGTAAAGCACTCACATACATACAAAGATTCAAAGTTCATGTATCAGACTCCTAGCAGTATTGGTGAGTTTATTGGCTTGAAAGTCCCTCTGGAACACATCCACAGCTTGGATGGGTCATTCAGTCCTTTGTTCAGAGCTTTGTTTGAAGAAAGGTTACTCCAGAGGTAAGAAGCAGCACTGAAGACAAAATGGAAAAGATGCAGTTGCCTTTTATCGTCTTTTGCCATGTGGCTTGTGCTTCCTTTGTTCCAAACACAAGCTGCCCAGCACATGGCCTGGAAGCCTTAGAGTTCTATCCATATGCATGCGCCTGCATGCCTTGCTGAGTCATAAGGTGTAGCCCTTGACCCTTTCAATGGGTTAATTGTACAGTTGATGTTCCTTGATGAGCCATCAAGCAGGCTAGGCAGTGCTGATGTCAAACTCTCTGGGGGTGTCACCCAGAAGCATAGCACAAGGGTACGTCTACACTACGAGATTAATTCGAATTTAGATAATTCGAATTTGGGAAACAGATTGTATAAATTCGATTGTGCGCGGCCACACTAAGCACATTAATTCGGTTTTTAACCACATTAATTCAGTGGTGTGCGGCCACACTACCCCATTAATTTTAACCACATTAATTCGGTGGTGTGCGGCCACACTACCCCTAATTCGAATTAACAAAATCGATTTTGGTGCTACTCCGCTCGTCGGGGTGGAGTACAGAAATCGATTTTAAGTGCCCTTTAATTCGAAGTAACTGGCTCCGTTGTGTGGACGGGTTAAGGATTAATTCGGATTAACGCAGCTAAATCCGAATTAAAGTCGTAGTGTAGACCAGGCCCAAGTTTGAAATACAGACATACGTACATATCTATAACTCATAATACAAAGGTGATACAAACATATAAACAAGATTATTATACTTGACAAATTATAACATTTTTGCAGATATCTTACATGGTGTATCTGGCACAACGCATTGCAATTTTACAATATTGGTGTTCATAATATCCTAAAGTGTCCCCCAAATTCCATACAGCGTCACAGACACTGTTCCTCTCACCAGTACCAGAATGATTTAATACATTCTGCAGCAGAACTCCCGAGAGAAAGCATTGTTGAAGAGGTTGGACAAGTCAAGTATTTTTCTGTCCTTGTTGATGAAACTAAAGATGCATCAAAAAAAAAGAACTGTGTCTCCTTTTATGCTGCTATCGAAAAGGAATCATTCAGGAACGAATTCTGGGCTGCTTCCACATGGAAAATCTAAATGCTGAATCTGTTTAAAAATGATTATTGAAGAACTACAGCATTTGAAGCTTGATATTAATTACATTGTTGCTCAGTGCTATGATGGAGCTTCTATCTGGGTGGGCATTTAACAGGAGTACAAGCTCAAATTCAGGAAAGGATTATTCCTGGCATTTATGTGCACTGCCATGCTCGCAGGCTTAATCTTGTCATTGCAGATACATATTCCAGCATCACCCAGTATCAGGAAGTCTTTGCATTTGCTAAGGAACTGTACATCTTTTTTAGCAGTGGTTACAAGCACCATGAACTGTTTAAGGCACAGCAGGTGCTAGGCCAGAAGGTACTTGAGCTACGTACAGTATGTGAAACTCGCTGGTCGTACCAGTATGACTCCCTCTGAAAACTGCATGTTAGTTACGGCACTGTAGTGGAAACACCGGAAGCCATTTCAGTTCAGAGAGCTGATGGACCATCAGTTACCTCTGGAAAGGACTTGATGGTAAGGCTAAGGAGCTATCCCTTTCTGTTGAATCTCTTGGTTTTGGAAAGAATATTCAAAATTTTGAATAGTGCTTTAGAAGAATTGCAGAATAAAAAATTGAATTTATCAAGTGCCATGGAATTAGTAGCAAGCAATGTTGCTATTCTTCAAGAAATAAGAACATCTGAAAGCAAATGGAAAGAACTATGTGATGAAGCTGAGATCATTGCCAAGGAACTTGAAACTGGTAGTCCGGGTCAGGCAGTCGGAACCGATCAGCACAGCAATACAAAAAATGGCAACAAGACCTAACAAAGTATCCTTCAAGATGGCCTTGTTATTTGTTTCTAGTACACTGAGTCAGTCATTGACACATGATGATGTTCCCAAGAGCACTCAATCTATAAAATCTGATTTCTACTATCCTGTTCTGGACAGAATTTTTGCTGAGCTTGATAGAGGATTCAACTTCAACTCCAGTTTACTTTCTGCACTAACTGCTTGTGACCCCAAAAGTGAAAA